CTGAGTCAAATAACTGCAGCAAGGAAGGAAAATCTACGAAAAATGAGGTGGCATGAGTAGCAAGGGCAGATGTAGCAAAAACAGTCCAAAAAAAGTGTGGATTTCAAAATTTCAGGGAAAACATGTAGAAACAATCCAACTACAGAGGAGGAGGAGGAAGGAGGAATTAAAAGATAGTACATCAGGAGATTGATCACATCCCAAAATATATGTTGGCAATCATGGGTCATTGGAAGGAATAGATCAGAACTGAACAATCAAAACTATAAGAATTTGGCCTAGGATTAAGAAATGAAGCAGAAGAGCTACTAATTGAATCCTGTGGAGCCAACAGTTTGTTCATTAAAAACACAGTCTTCAGGTAAGTGTACATAGGGAATCATCTGGCTGCCTGCAGAAATCAAACAGACTACATAATTGAAAGCAGAAAATAATTGAAAGCAGCTCTATCTTCTCTGTAAAAACAAGGATTCAATTGGGTTGTTGTAGGTTTTTTGGGCTGTATGGCCATGATTCCAGCCATGAAAGCCTTCAACAATACATTGCACATCTTTACGGAGAGAAACTGTTCCAAGTCGAATGGAATGCTTCTCGAACATGGCCATACAATCTGAAAAACCTACAACAACCCAGCGATTCTGGTCATGAAATCCTTCGACAATACAAGGATTCAATTGTTCCACAAATCATGGACTACTAATGTAAAAAAAAATGGAGTAAAGCTAAAGAAGAAAATCAATGTGTCAAACCACAACATGTAGAACAGCTCTGTAGAATTCAAAGATATTGTAAAAATAGATTCACACTAACAAGTCAATTGATCGGGAATCAGAAAAACCAGGGACATTGAAGCAAAAGTCTTAGAAATAGGGTGTCGAAGAAGAGTTCTGCATATACCATGAACTGCCCAAAAGACAAATAAATGGGTATTATTTATTTATTTCATTTATACCCCTACAGGGGACTCAAGGCAGCTTACAGACACTGGCAAAATTAAATGCCGCATATCAACGTAACAATAAAACATACCTCTTGGTTCACTACAGTAAATCACGCCTAAATCAATGGGTCCTACAGTAAATCAAGCCTAGAGTCAATATGCTAAGACTGTTGTATTTTGGCCATTTCATGGGACAACATGGTTCACTAGACAAGATAACAATCATGGCAAGGCAGAAAACAGCAGGGAAGCTGAAACTCCTCATTACAGGTGAGTAGACTCAACTGAGGAAGCCATGGCCCCAAGTCTGCAAGATCTGAGCAGGACTGTTTAGGATATGGCTACTTGGACATTTCCCATACATCAGAGTTGAAGTGTTAAATGTGTTTAGGTTGAACTTCCTGAACTATTCAACAGTTGAAATATCTGCCTGAGAGTATGGTGGAAACTCCTTCCTTGGAGGCTTTTAAACAGAGGCTGAATGGCCATCTGTTGGGGATGCTTTGATAGTGCTTTTGCTGCATGGCAGGTGGTTGGACTGGTTGGTCCATGTGGTTTCTCCCACTTCTATGGAAATAAACAAATTAAGTCATCCTGAACACACTTTACATCACATGGCTTTCTAGGCTTCATAGGGCCCTTCCACACAGCCCTATATCCCAGAATATCAAGGGAGGAAATCCCACATTGTCAGATAACCCAGCTCACAGAAGATATTATAGGATTTTCTGTATTGATATTCTGGGATATAGAGTTGTGTGGAAGGGTCCTAAGTTTCCAAGATCAGATCCTGATCTTGGAGGCTAAGCAGAGTGAGCGCACTAGTAGAGAAACTACGGACACAATGGCCAACAAATGTTACCAAGAAAACCCTACAATTTCATAGAATCATTGAGTTGGAAGAGACCTCATGGGTCATCCAGTCCAACCCCCTGCCAAGAAGCAGGAAAATTGCATTCAAAACACCCCTGACAGATGGCCATCCAGCCTCTGTTTATAAGCTTCCAAAGAAGAAGCCTCCACCATACTCCGGGACAGAGTTCCATTGCTGAACAGCTCTCTAGTTAGGAAGTTCTTCCTAATGTTCAGGTGGAATCTCCTTTCCTGTAGTTTGAAGCCATTGTTCCATGTCCTAGTCTCCAGGACAGCAGAAAACATGCCTGCTCCCTCCTCTCTATTTTTTTTTTCATGTCAGGACTGACTTGAGAAACTTCTGGTGTGAAAGAATTGGCCATCTGCAAGAACACTGGCCAAGGGATGCCCATAAGTTTTGATGTTTTCCCATCCTTGTGAGAGGGATCGCTCATATCCCTGCATGGGGAGCTGGAGCTGACAGAGGGAGCTCATCCACACTCTCCCTGGATTTGAACCTACTCAGTTCTGTCGGCACAAGGGTTTAACCCATTGTGCCACTGGGAGCTCTACCTCCTCCCTATGACTTCCCCTCACATATTTATAAATTCCTATCATCATGTCTCCTCTCAACTGTCTCTTTTGCAGGCTAAACATGCCGCTCCTCATAGGGCTTGTTCTCCAGCCCTTGCTCATTAAGCCACTCCTCATAGGGCTTGTTCTCCAGGCCCTTGATCATTTTAGTCACCCTCCTGTGGACACATTCCTGCTTGTCAACTTCTCCCTTCAATTGTAGTGTCCAGAATTGGACACAATATTCCAGGTGTGGTCTGACCAAGGCAGAAGAGCAGGGGAGCATGATTTGTCTGCATAATGTCTTTTCCATACTCCCCTCTGCTATTGTTTACATTTTCATGTCTTTGCTCCCGTAGCCATGCAGAAAAGGGACCCAGGGGGGACTGGTCTGCCTTTCCTCTTCAACACCCCTCCATACCTACTGATTTTAGAAAAGTGCCTCTTTCCACTTCGCCAACCACATCACACTAGAGAATGAATCTACATTAAATCCGGTTTTTGCCTCCTGCAGAATTCTGTGGTTTGTAGTTTAGTGAGGCTGTTAAAGGCTCATCCCTAAACTATATACCCCAGAATTCTGCAGGAGGCAGCAGCACTCACTCTGACAAGTCCAGCTCTTTTGGCGGATCCTATGGATTTAACCGCATTGTTCATTAGATGCCCCCCTCGATGGATTGTCACCTTGTCGTGGTGAGGGGCTTGCATGTTCCAATGAACCTGCGGGCACAACCACTGGAGTCATGCACTCCCAGGAGGGGCCGCAGGGGAGGTTCCAGACCAAGCACAATCCGAAGACCCAAAGACCTCAAAGGCGGAGCAGGTGGAGGATAACATGGTACACGTTACAACGGCTGTGCAGGCGGAAGAAGGCTGCAACAGATTGAGAAGCCACCATTGTCATGTTAACCATACCACTGGATGGAACCTCACGCTATGAAGACTGTGTGTTGATTGGCTGTGCACTGGCCTCCGCACATTAAAAAAAATTAAATACATAGGCATCTTCCTCTAACTGGAGGTCAGCTGTGACTAGCAGTGCTGCAGAATTCAAAGAGGCAGGAACTGAGGGCAAAAGAGAGAAACGTGCCAAGAGGAAGGCACCTCAAGCCAACCGTGATTTGGACCACCTTCTACCTGGAAACCAATGTCCTCACTGTGGGAAAAGTTGTGGATCAAGAAGGCTTAGGCAATCCCTTGTTGTCCGAGTAGGATAGTCTTCCAGGATCAGTGTACTGGTGGTGGGTCTGTAGGTGACTGTAGAGCCCTATTCTTGATCTGCATCTTCTCCTGCAGTGAGGGCATTAGTTTCCAGGTGGAAGGTGGTCCCGGTCAGGGTTAGCTTGACGCGCCGTGCTCTTGGCACATTTCTCTCTTTCGCCCTCCTTTCGTGCCTCTTCAAATTCTTTTACTTAGGCGATCCCTCATTGGATGAGTAGGATAGTCTTCCATGATCAGTATTCTTGTGGATCCGTAGGTGGCTGTGGAGGCCTATTCTTGATCTGCATCTTCTTCCGCAGTGAAGGCATTGGTTTCCAGGTGGAAGACGGTCTCGGTCAGGGTTGGCTTGATGCGCTTTCCTCCTGGCACGTTTCTCTCTTTCACCCTCCATTTGTGCCTCTTCAAATTCTGCAGCACTGCTGGTCACAGCTAACCTCCAGCTGGAGCGCTCAAGGGCCAGGGCTTCCCAGTTCTCAGTGTCTGTGCCAGAAATTTTAAGGTTGGCTTTGAGCCCATCTTTAAATCTCTTTTCCTGTCCACCAACATTCTGTTTTCCGTTCTTGAGTTCGGAGTAGAGCAACTGCTTTGGGAGACGGTGGTCGTGCATCTGGACAACGTGGCTGGTCCAGTGGAGTTGATGGCGGAGGACCATAGCTTCAATGCTGGCGGTTTTTGCTTCTTCCAGCACGCTGACATTTGTCTTCCCAAGAGATCTGCAGGATTTTCTGGAGGCAGCACTGATGGAGTTGCATGTGACGTCTGTAGACAGTCCACATCTCGCAGGCATATAGCAGGGTTGGGAGGACAATAGCTTTATAAACAAGCACCTTAGTATCCCTAGGGATGTCCCGGTCCTCAAAAATTCTCTGCTTTATTTTCCAAATAGATCAAGAATAGCCACCTATGGATCCACCGCCAAGACACCAAATCTGGAAGACAATCATCCTCCAGCTACGAGGGATCACCTAAACTGAAACTAAAAACTGAAAACTCACTAGATGCATCTGATTCAACAGTCCGCGGAATTTCAACGCTGCAGGAATCACTCCTCTTCTTTAGGACTTGATTCTTCTGGCTGCAAGAACGTAAAAAGCCTTCGGCGTAGGAAACGAGGAGAAAGGACAAGGCACAAGGTGTTTCCGCACCCAACCAAAAGGCAAAGTCCTCGAGGATTGAACTTGGCGCGCCTTTGCGTGGCTTCCTCGCCTTCCAAAGCAAGCGAAGTTCTTTGAAGCCCCGGAGCCGGCTGGGATCTCCTTTCGGACCACTTTCAACCCAAAAGGAGACTTCCCTGCTCTCTCCTGTGGGGAAGTATTAGAGGGGGGGGGGGCGGTTGTGGGGAGGTCTCGCCTCTCGCGGGGCGGAGCCAATGGGCTTTGAAAACGGGAGGCGCCCCTCCCCTTGGCCCCCGCCCTCGCAGGGACCCCCAGGCAGACACTCGTGGGCTCGCCGGGTCCCTCCAATTAGGGGAAGGGGCTCTGCCGCCTCTGCTGCCCCCCATCCCCCCCGCCTCCTCCTCCGAGGGTGAAGGCACCTGCCCGCCGCTCGCCCCCGCCTTCAGCCATTGACAATTCCGAGTCCCCCTCTCGCCCCCTCCCCTTTCCTCCGCCACCATTCACAAGTCTCATTCATTGCGCGGCGGAGCCCCACGCCCACCCGAGGCAAGGCGGCACCAGGCAGCCAGGCAGCCAGCCAGCCGAGAGGGCACGCTCTCCTCTCTGCTCCTTTCCTCTCCTCTCCGCCGCCCCGCCCGGCAAAGGGCGCAACCATCCGCGGAAAGCTGGCCTCGGGTTGCTCTCTTTCCCGCGGCTGAGGCGGAGGGGGTCGCCTTCCTCCTCCTCCTCCTCTTCCTCCTCTTCGCCTCTAACAAAGGGATTTGGCCGGCGCACGAGGCGGATGCGGTGAGAGAGGGGCTGCTTCCCCGGCAGGAGGAGGAAGGAGCGGGCAGGGAAGGCAAGGAAAAGGGGGGAAAGAAGACCCCCCCCCCTCCCACGATGGGCTGCTGCACCGGGCGCTGCACGCTGGTCTTCCTCTGCACGCTGCAGCTGGTGAGTGGCGGCGCCTTTGCTCCCTTCCTTCCCTCCGCGTTCGGCTCCCTGTCCTCCTCCTCCTCCACGCCGGATTGTGGAGCTCCCCCTTGTGCCTTGCTTCCTTCTCCTCGCGAGTCAGAGTCCGCCCCTTCTCAGAGGTCTCTAGGGCTGAGCAGAGACTGAGCCACCTGGCGCGCCCTTCCAGCAGGAGAAGGAGCTCTGCCCCCAATTGTTCCTCCCCGGCTGGGAAGGAGAGCCTCCCCTTCACAGCTTGAGGGCCAAGGGATGGGGGTGGGAGGGGGGTTCGAGGGGTTCTGCTCCTACAACTCAATCCCTGGTGCCAGAGAGAAGCCCCCTTCTCACTTATTGTAGGCATCACCAGTTTCCCCAAAGGGAAGGGCTGATTTGCCAGGTGGGAGGCACCTGGAAGAGCCCTTTCTTCCTCCCCATCCTCATTAGTCCTCCCTTGGGGTCACTTTCGACCCGTTGTGCAAGATCCCAAATCAAGGTGATTCACTTTGGGTGGTTCCCCGTGGACCCTTTCTTTTTCCACTCTTTCTCTTTGCAGCCTCCTCAAGGGCTGCTTATCTCTCATTCCTGATCCAAGTTGCTTAGGAGAGCCTTCTCTTAATGGGGAGAGAAATCCCTCTTAAAGCAGCTGGCATGGCTCATTGGATGCCAGTTTGGCATTGTCAAGGTCTACACCAGAGATGAGCATTGACACCCCTAGGATTCCTTAAAAAGGCACTCGCTAGGAAAGCAAGCTGATCCTGTTCAAATACAAAGCAATGCCAATAGTGATGGGAGTTACTAAGCTCCTAATAGTGATGAGAGTTACTAAGAGGCCCTGTTTTTCTTTAAAGTATCCTGGTCTTTCTCCTCTTTTTCCTCCTCCTTCTCCTCCTTCTCTTCTGCCTCCTCTTCTTCCCTCTCGGTGTCCTCTTCTACCTCCTCCTCCTCTTGTTTTTCTTTCTCCTCTTCCTCCTCCTCTTCCTCCTCCTCCTCCTCCTCTTTTTCCTCTTCTTCCTTGTCCTCTTCTTCCTTCCTCTTCCTTCTCTTACTCTTCCTTCTCTTCTTCTTGTTCTTCTTCTTCCTCCTCCTCCTCCTCCTCCTCCTCCTCCTCCTCTTTTTCACCATGAGATGTTGATGTCTTTCCATTGTGAGCAGTGACTCTGGGTTTTGCTACCATGTACTCCTCTTGTTTGTTCTTGACTTGTTCTTGATTCTGAATTCTGAAGACAATTTGAAGTATCTCTGGTGTGAGGCAGAGGTTCCCTCTCCTTCTGCATCCTGCCTAAACCAAGTATTTAGATTTTGCACAACTCAATAGACATCTCACTCATTCTATTGTCTTACCTTGACAACTGGGTATTAAAACCACTTTGTGATCAATAAGAGGTCAAGGCGTTCAGGCAGCACTTGAGGATCTGATAATGCAAGTAAGGCCTGCCTATTCTTTTTTAAAGAAAGACTTCAAGGCTACAGGGTAAAATCTTAAGTCTCCCTGTGTGTGTTTCTCTTTCCAAACTCGCGTTTTTTTCATATGATTTTGTACTTTTGCAATATTTTAGGATTTTCTAGTTAATTTTATCCATCAGTTTCCTGAAGTCACTGATTTCTGAAATGCAGGCAGCAAAGAGGACTGCAGGAAAATAAGTATATATTTGGGGTATTCATTGAGTGAGCAAGGAGGATGTGTTGAGTGTATGACTATTGTGACTGCATGGCTAAGGCTGCAGTGCTATATACAGTCCAATTTAGGCTAGGTCCTGAATAATATGTATGCTTATAATTAAAACAAAACATACACATTGAACAGTTTTGCACATTTTTGGTTAGGGAGCTTTATGTTATCTACTGAAGCTAGTGTAACAATTCAACTGCTGGAATAATAACTCTTCGAAAGGTTGTGTTCTACGAGTATTATGCTAGAAGACCTTTGTTCTTTTAGTGGTTTAGCTGTCTGCATTATTTTGGCAAGGGGAGTAAGGTTTATATTCAATATCCACAAACGAAAGCAGTGTATTTTGGAAGCCTGTGTTGAACTAGCTGTTTGTATTTGATAATTCTGTTATGAAATCATAAACTGTAAATCTGGAAGGGGGTTGGAAGTGAGCATGTTGGTGTTTCAAAATTCATGTGTTGAGTCCTTCCCAGGTGTGTATGTGTGTGTATGTATGTATCTAATACACATTCCATGCTGAAGAATATAGGGGTGGCATTCCAGATGTCATTCAATTGCCACTCCCACCACTCTTCACCATTGGCTATGCTGCCTTGGTGTGCTGTAGGTTGCTATCTAACAATATCTGGAAGGCTACATGGTCCCCACTCTTGCCATACTAAATGGATAAGCTTAATTTTTTTTAGTGGGGTGAGACAAATTTCAAGAACTATTCTTCCATAAGATTTCACTGTCAGTTCCTTTTGCCTAACAATAATTAATTCTGCATATTAAAACATGTATCATAGTTTGTGTGTAAGTAATTTAGCATTTTAGAAATTTATAGTTGCATGCAACTAATCATTCTGAATGCAAGGAATAAGGAAAGTATAAGGTGGCTTTTCTGATTTATGTACTAGGTGAATGTAATGGCAGTCCCCTTTCCTTCCTGCCTCCTATGTTTTGGAGAATTATGATCTTTGGAAAGGCATGACCTTTTTAGAAATCATAACCTTTTGGAAAAATGATGCCATAACCTTTTGAGAAATGGAAATCTCCATAATCTTTTTGGAAAATGGCATTCACCACCATTTGGGAATTGCAGGAATTTCCCTGAGAAAAGGGAAATTATGGGGTAATTATGTTTTTCAGCTGGGACAAAGATATGCCAATGCACAAAAACATATATAGATATATAGATAGCAGAGTTTCAGAAGTGTTCTTTTAGTTGCCCCCCAAAAATCTACCCTCCTTTAAAATATGTTGGTTTAAATCATGCTCTCAAGAGACAAGAAGCAGGTCAACTTCTTTAAAAGTAACAGTTGGTTTACTTTCAAACTTCATGTATTCAGCATACAGGTATATTGCATCTCAGTCCAGTTACAGATAGGATTTGAACTGTTTTCTCTGTGTAGGTAACACAGGACATATTTCTCATAATCAACAGTACCAGCTAAAGCATCTCTCTGTTCCGAGTGTCTAATAGAGTCTGAAAGTCCAATGGAGTCTGCTTCTAATGGTGTCTGAAAGCATACTGTTTCTAAAATGGAGTCTGAGTCCTGAACAGTCCCTGTTCTGATCACATGGTATGCAGCCCTCCCACAACATAAAGGAAAACTGCATACAAATATACACATATACAATGCAGTAAGCAATCTGGATTATCTACATAACAAATAACTAGTGGAGGCTTGAAGAAGGTCACTGTGTCCAACACTATGTTGCAGTGGTCTTCTGCTGTGATATGGGGCCTACCTGTTCCCCATCACTTGTACTGACATCAGCTGAGGCAATGGGAACGCTGGAAAGGAAGGGGATTTCCTCCTCTTCTCCTTCCCCATTTCTAGGTATCTCATTATTCTGACTGATGTCAAAGCAAGTGATGGGGAATGAGTAGGATAGTTAAAGTGCCTGCCCAGGAGCACTGAAATGCATTTAGCACCATTGGGTTGTGGGGACTTCCTCCTGCCTCTGCAACAGCTGGGGATTCCTTGTGGGCACTCTTTTCAATGTTGATCCAGCATGCTGGATCGGCCCCCCAAAAGGTTCAGTGTAGATGTGCTCCTTGACAAGAGAGAGTGTCGTAGCATATAGAGAGAACCAATTGTGAAAATAGTTGGCCACCATAAGCATTTTCATGATTTGAAACGTTTTTATGAAATATTTATTTGTGCAGAAATCTTGGGTTTTGAGTACATTTTTGTGCACAAGAAATCTTTGTGTTCTTGTGCAAATCCATCCCATTACAAAAGTGCAAACAATCAAAAATCAACAAGAAATCAAAAATCAACAAGAAAACTTTTGAAAACAATTTTGCATGCAAAAAGGAAATGTCCAAAGAGTTATATCCTACTATAGATCCAAAGCCTTTCTCTGTTCATACTCTCCTTTTGAACCCCTGCTGTGGTTGGAGCAAAATCAGCAGCAGATTTTCACCACCTCAGAGAACAAACATCTGGAAGTGGACCTCCCATACTTTTTGGTGGACCTCCCATCCTGCTTTTAGTCATCAGCCAATCTTTTTTTTTTGGGGGGGGAAGGGAGTGGGAATTCATTTCTATGAACCCATTACACTTAGGAGGCATAGAAGGTCCACATTTACAAAAACATGGCTTTAGAACAGACTTAAGGATATTTTATTAAATTCCATGGGATTACTACAGAGTGACTACTAAAGTGATGGGAGTTCATCATTTCTATATCACTGAGGTCTGCCTCTAGCTGTGAAATTCTTTGAAATCATGTGGTTTTGCCAATATTATAACAATATAAAATACTTGTATTGGAGTCTCTTGCTATATCTAGACCAGTGTTTCAGAATTTATTATAAGGTAGTTGTTGCTTGCAGAGTCTTCTACATTCTTTCAGTCTCTATCTAATTATTCAAGCTGTTTTCTTCAATTTTTTTGTAATTTTGATAAATTACATAATATTTGAAAAAATAATTAATGTTTACAACAGTTAGCAAAGTGCTGAATAGAGTAGTTGTGTTTAAGGATCACACCTGAGGCCCATGGACCGGATGGGATTGCTACAGAAGACCATTTGGACTTTATAGTGTATTAGCATATGGACAATGTTTTTTTTTTTTTTACAATGCAGACCAGAAGTAGCTCTTCCAGGTGCTGCTTCTTGAACTTGGGGCTTTGAAGTGATATCTTGAGCAGACAGAATGGGAAACAATTACTTAGACAGCAGGAGATGTTGTTAGCTATAGTTAATTGACAGGGTCACCAGACTGCTGTCCTCCAGATGTTTTAGAACATCTGTTGGCTCTCCACATTTCTGGTTTGAACTTTTGTGGATTTTATTATTTATGAATCTGATTAATGTGGTCTCTCTAAGAATAGCCAGA